TACTTACACATGTATGGCAGGCCGTTTCCGAGATGAATACGACTTACGAGTGAATGGTAACATTCAATGATTTATGTTTTGTGTATATATTATATGGTATTGTTATGTTTTAAGTTGCAATCATTTTGTTAATGAAGTTCATAATAATTCAATGTTCTTGAAATGATTCATATCTTACAATTGTTCTTATACAGAATATCAATATTATTTACAGTGTGTACTGATGTCACCTCAAAACTAGGGACCAACAAATTATACTCATATTTACTTTTTTTCGTTAGCTATTCCATGCAGTGAGGATTGTATGAATGGTGGACTCTGTATCTTTGGTAGATGTGAATGCTTACCAGGGTTCAATGGTGACAGCTGTGAAACTCCAGGTGGTGAGTACAACTTTTTAATTTTTTTTCCCTCATGATGAGATATATATAAATCATTTATCAATCCGATTACTAAACTGATTACATATTAATGTTGGATTTTCGTCTAAAGTGAAGATCAAAGGTTTTTTTAAGATAAGATAAGATAAATTTCATTACTCCAAAATAGGGAATTCAGTACTCGCATTAATATATACAATGGACAGTAAAAATATTAAAACAAGATAAAGTACAGTAAAATATAATAATTATAATACAAAAGAGATATCAAACAACAACCATTAAAACATTACAGCAGTCACCAAAGCACAGAAACAACAGCAAAAAGGGTAAAAACTAAGACAAAGAATATATTTTTAAGTTATTGAAATATTATTAATAATAATAATATTATTATTATTATTATTATTATTAGTACTACTACTACTACAGTTTTTTTTTCATTTTTATCATCATCCTCATCATCATCATTATTATCATACTACATCTTTTAAAATTGATGTTAAAAGGTCTTACACCCTGGGGAACGAAGGAGGAAGAATAACGGCATGTACGACCTGCCAGTGGCCTCAGTTTTTATCTTGGACACTTCTTTTATCGTCATTAGAATTTTATATATATTTTCTCTGCCACATAGAGCTTCTGAAAGAACTGTTTTGATAAATTAAAAAATTAATATAAAAGATCTGCTCCCCTATAGCAATCTTAAAAAAATATATAGAACATTCCTGCCTTATTTCATTTGTTTCCATATTCTTGTCATTGTAATTGATTTTCAAAGTTTTTTTTCTCTTATCAGATGTAACGCTTGTTATTACTGTGAAGGAGATTACTGGTAAAGTTTCTCTGCCACATAGAGCTTCTGAAAGAACTGTTTTGATAAATTAAAAAATTAATATAAAAGAT